GCTGTACATTCACTCCCCCCACCTACAATCCCTGCCGGTACGAGACTCGAACCCGCAACATTTGGGTTACAAGTCCGACTCTCTCACCATTAGGCCACGACTTCCCCTACATCCCCTATATTTATTAAAAATCAGAAATATTTATTAGAAAATATTAGAATGATTTCTGAAGGATCATGTATCATTGAAGACTGGAATAATGATGATGAAAATTCACAGCAATAAATTGCATTTTACAATGTATTCAAATAGAAAATAGTTATTTTAAATTGTAACATTTCACAGTGTTACCATTACGGGGCTGACGAGACGAGAGGCGTGCGGATCCATGTGCAAGCTTTTATTAATAAACAGTCAAAAACACAGGCAGGGTCGAACAACAGCAAACAAGTATGGCACAGGCAAGACAAAAGAGCAATCCTAAACGGGCTTGAATCAGACGACAGCAAACGTAATCCAGAGGGCTTGACAAGAGGGGTAATCCGTAAACGTGAGCATAAGGCCAGGCGAGGAGCAAACACAGTCCAAAACATCAAGCAAAGGGTTAATCCAAGATACGTGGCAAGAATCAGGAACCAGGAAAACAGGCAAGGCAAGACTATGACTAGACTATGAAAACTAGAGCAGGCTCCGTAAAGTAGCTATCACAGTGATAAACGCTAAACAATACTCGGCGCTCTGGAAGAGGAAGAACAAGGCTTATAAAGCGTGTATGATAGGGTTCAGCTGTGTGTGTGTAATCAGTGCACTCAGCTGTGTAGTGTGAAAGTCCATGTGGTGAGCTGGTGACCTCTGGTGGTGAGTGAACGGAAGTTCATAGACAGGATTTGTGACAGTTTACACTCATTATATTATAAAAATACATATGTAACAGTTACATCATTGCCCATATAAGGCCTTTCCTTTAAATAAACAAAGCAGAATAATCAAGTATTGTACTTAATATATGTTATTTGCTGGAGGGGTTGTGTTGTTCAGTCTTTCTCTTTAAAATACCCTTTAAAAAAACGGTGATCATTGGATTTCAGTCAGGTGACATACCTGGCCGGGTCATAGTTTTCACTTTTTCCTTCTTTAGATAATCATGTGTGATTTTAGCAGTGTGCTTTGGATCATTATCTTGCTGGAATATTCCTCATCTGCAGACTGGAAGTCATCTTGTCAGCCAGTATTTTGGTACATCAACTGGCATTTATAGTGTCATCTACAAATGTCATCTCCTAAGACTCAACACTCATGTATCCCTGACCAGGTTAATGCCAAACATCTGAGATGAACAAATGTATCATGGACTCATCTGACCAAAGAATGTGCTCCCAATATTCACCTGGGCTTCTTTTCCTGTTCTTAAGCAAAGGGTATTCTTGTAGTTTTGTACTGAAGAGCAAACAAGAGGTTGCATATTATACAATGTCTACCTGAATTGTCACAGAAACTCCACTGATTTCCACTGATAACCCCTGTGCCAAATTTTTTAAAACTAGATTGTGCAAGTAGCGCACTTTTCGTGGTGTTATTTTAGGAGGATGGCCATTATCGCTCTGATTAGTGGTGCTCTGGCTCATTCTATACCTCCTGATTCATGCAGCAACCACTGTTTTTAGTTGATCACTGATCTTCCTGTATGCTTTTCCATCTTCGTGAAGTCTCACAGTCAG